GCTGATTTCCCCACTACGTGCAAGAAAATACCACGCTATTCGAGAGAATTCGCGAGGCAAATGGCCGACCGTTTCGTCGTCCTTCACTACTTTCACGGCGTGTTTGTCCATTGGGTTGTTAAACTCTCGTTTAGCAACTCTTGTTTCTCTGGTGTCCAGACTTCCCTCGTCAAATAAACGCGTGGTTACTAAGCAATCGTTTTGTTGCATTCTCCAGCGCTTTATTTTCGTTCCATCGTTCCATTTTCATTTCAACTGTGGGCTTTAGCAATGAAGAGAACTGTTGTCTTTCGCAGGAAATGGGGAAATTGATTAAAGAGAACCTTTTAAAAGGTATTTTCAGAGTTGATTAACTTATTTAAAATGTCACTGCAAATACACAACATTAAATTTCCTCAAGTTTATTTGTGAACATTTTGATGCGCGAACAAACGATCACCTTTTTTACAAAAGCGCATTTTTGGTTTTTTTGGTTTTTCAAAATCATGCTTGAAAGTTGGGGGTGCGGCTTATACACGAGTGCGGCTTATACACGAGTTTTTACGGTAATTGTTTTGATCTATAGCAGCTGAAAGATAAATGTAGTACTATAAGGCTGGTTTTTAATAGTGACGGAGTCAGAGTCGTAAGTGGAGTCGTAAGAGTGCTTATGACCTAGTGAAAATCGAAAATCAGAGTCATAAGCCGAGTCATAAGTGCGGAGGAATGTGTGGTTCCAGAAAATATCCATACCACAAAAGTCAGTACTCCTGGCCATAAAGATGAGGTTAACATCATTAGCTTTAGTGTTTCTGTTTTTCACTTATCAGCACGTTTTCACAAGATCATAAGCTCTACACTTCTGATTACGGCTCTATCTCCGACTCCATTGCTAGTGAAAACCAGCCTTAAATGGCCAAGAAGAAAAATGTATTATGTGGTTAATTAAGGCCTTATTCCAGTCACCCCTTCATACATAATAATTATCATGACTCTAATTCAATACAAACCAAGTAAGATTCTGAGCCTCCCGAACTACCATAGTTTCCATGATTAAAATCCACTGAAAACAATGTAACAACTGCTACATGTAAGAAGAGAACAGGAAGAAAATGGCTTGCCTGGCTCCTGAAACTAAAATGAAAAGCAACAAGTTATGGGAGGTGTATAATGCCCTGCAAGCTCATGTAAATTATTCTTCAGTTACTTTTTTTTAACCTTCTACTTCTCCCTCCTTTTGCCATCCTTAGCAATGATTGTTTTAGCGAGAGAAACTTGAAATACTTACTTTATTTTATTTATTTTATTAGATTCGCCAATTATTGGCAGGGTCACCGCAACAGCTTGATGCCAATTACTGCGGGCCCGTAACAGTCCCTCCCCCCATGAGAGATAGACCACCACTGTAGCTTAACAGTAAAAGTAATTGTCACATTTTGCTGAAACACAAGGCATTAAGCTCTCAATTTTTGCATCACAGCTTCTCAACAAAGGACCGGTAAGCAGCACAGTTCCTAGCACACAAACCAATCTATTTTTCTTCCCTAACTGATAGTAAAATAAATTATTTTGTTGTATCATTTTCAAAATTACTGAAACTTTGATCTTGAATGAATAGTAACAGCAAAGACACAAATGCATAATATGCATTACACGTAAAACAGCTTTCTAGGCCCAAAAAAGCACTGGGCCTTTTCAGAAATGCAAGATTAACTTTTTAATAAGGGCGCCAACTGGCGATCAAGTTTTTTTTTTCTCTCATCTCCGCACTTCTGTCATTCCGCAATAACCGATGCTGAATGCTGACTTTTTTAGGGTAGGTGGGTGGGGAATGGGCAATTATTATGACTTGCAATGCAACACTGGGGTATTGAACAAGCACTCACAACAAAAATAAGCCACAACTGCCAACAAAAAGCTTTGAGTAGATTGATCCAAAACTAAACTCTTTTTTTTCACTAAATTAAAGAAATCAAAAGAGGATTCTTTCAAACCTAGCTGATACAGTTGGTTACTCTATCCAAACACAGCTGCCTAATTCAACTTTTAATGAACCCCTGCAGCTTAACAGCTTAGAATGCTCCAGCCCAAGAAAGGAAAACTGAACCTCAATGCCATTGTAATTGACATTAGGCTGGGAGGAGAGCAATAATTTTTTTTTGTTTGTTTGCTTGCATGCTTGTTCAAGGATCTCCTGGAAAGGACAACAACTGCCTCTGGCAAAACACAGTAAAACATGTTTAATTAAACAGGCAGAGTCAAGCTCAACACTGAACATTTTAAGCCTTTAGATGGAGAATGAAGAAATTCTTGCAAGTTTTCCCACACACAGAGCTTAATAACCAAACATAATTTACCATAACACACTCACTCATTCATCATTCATTCATTTTTATTGGTTTATTCAAATTTACAATAAAAATGAATGAATGAATGAATAAATAATTAATGCGGTATCAGTAAAAACACTAAAACTAACCCTTCAGCAATATTATTTTAATTGGCACAGTGAACATACCACTTTTTATCGTAAAATAAAAAATGCACAATCATGTCACCATTTTTCATGAAAAAAGTAAATAATTTGCCCCTTACTATACACACGGAAATGCTGAAACTATCAATATTGCCGGTAGTTAAGGGGCAAATCGAATATTCAAATTGACCCTGATTGCTTAAACCCCCACTAACTCAAACTTTTTTTAGTTTCCCTTCAGAGTTTGAGTTACCCAGGTTCTACTGTGTGGTGTTTTTTTCTAGCAAAAATCCAATCTATTCACTTTTTGCTCACACGAGCCACCGTTGCAAACATTACTACCCCAAAATAATGTACCAAAACCATTTACCATTTTTACCATTTACACGAGTAATATCAAGTCCTTCCATACTCCTGTAAGCCACAGCAAGAGTAAGCCAGGGCTTATTTTCTCTAATAAATATACGACCCTATTGTTTTCAACAATATTGAACTCCTCCAATGCTGCGGTTTTAGTTGTTAAAAATGATATTTATGTAAGGGCAGCTGTTAGTAATGTCACAGCTAGTACCTAGGAATTCCCCAGGGTAGTTACCCCGGGAATAGCAGAAGGAAAGTGCATCACGTGAGACTGTGTACAATAATACCACAGACCCTTTTGACAGACATTAGTATATACACACTCAGTAATCTTGGCGATTTAAGCAACCTGATTGGCTCGCTATCTCGAACTATTCAACAATATTCACCTCCTAGCGAGTGGATAATGAGTGAGCTCGTTTTTTTCCCCATTTTGTTAGAGAAAGATCTTTTAAAAGTAGACAAAATCCAAGGGTTGACTTTTTTTCAAGCAAGAAAAGACTTCAAAGGATTCAAAACGGCGTTTTTTCATTTACTGTTGTTGAGTTTTGTGGTCAATGGATTGCTTACAACTCCCGTTTATTCGCCTAGAAAAGGCCGTTTCATGAACTCAGCGTTTCCTAACAAGAAAAATTTGGCCCAAAAATGAAGTTTATTTATGACAAACAAATTTGAAAGCAAATGTTTCCAGAAATTCTACATTTCAAGTAAACACGAGAAAGAAATGCTACATGAAGACCACATCCTACCTCAAGGAGCCGAATCGCCATTTTTGTCAGAACTTCATGCGAAGAACGACACGACAGACGTTTTCGGTTATATCCTTGGCAAGTCAACAGAAAACAACAAAGCTCTTCTTTTCTTCTCAGGTAAGGAAACAATTCAAACTTTTAGCGGTTCCATTTAAGTCATTACGCTGTTGTTTGCAAAGTGATAAGCTTGTTAATTGCCATGTTTGAAAATTCTACAAAGATCTACTTTTAAACTGTTGCATGTCTAGCTGACCTGATCTGTCAATCAAATCGTACTTTTTAATGGTTTTCTCTCTGATTTTGTTGAGATCACTTCGTGTGTATATACTAAAACAATTATTATTCTTTTCAATCTCGGTGAATAGTGGCTTTAGGAATATTTACCTCGCGACTTCGTGGCTAGGTAAATATTTAGCCACTATTCATCTCGATTTCAAAGAATAATTGTTAAATATCCATCAAGAATAAAGAGTGACTCGATTGCCTTTGCTTCGTTCTTTAAGCATTCCCACAAATGGTCGGGGTTTTTCAAGTGCCCATAACTTTTACTAGGTAATGGTTTTACATAAATAGTAAAATTTTGCGTTTATACTAACCTACGTATGCGCCTTCGTCCCCAAAATCTGAAGAATAGAGCAATCACACAACTTTCTAACCAGTAGAAGGATATAGAGGCGTTTGAACCTATGAACAATCTGAACTGAAAAATGTTCTCTACGATTAAGACAATAACAAACAATGTGGTGGATAAATATGTGTAGAGATAGCTGTAGTCTTTGGGATTCTTTTTGTGTATTGAATGTTCGTCGCTGTCCTGATCGGCGGATTTTGGAGATCGATTGTCCAAAGTATCACTATCGAGTCCATTAAAACGACTTGTATGTTCATTCAAGACAGTTCGCCCAGATCGCTCAGTTCCATTCTCGATTTCATACACATCATCGCCAGATCCCGAAAAAGTTCTGGCTCGAAATGTCTCCATAAGGTGAAAAAACAACGCAACTGCAGATGGACAGTTGAGAAACGAAAATTCACTTCAGTGAAGTGAACGACGTTGGCGTGTTGGCGTGACTTCATGTAAAGTGCTGGTGTTGCATTCTGGGTATTTAGGCTCACCTTCAGCGGAGGCCTCGGGAACTCTAGGAGGAACAAGGAAGTATAAATTATTATTTTAAGATGATCACAAATTAACACCAGAGAAATAACTCTAACATTGTATTTTTTTCTTAAACGTATTTCTTATGTTCATACACTTTTTAAGTTTTGTATTTCATCTATCACGTCTAAAATTCCTTTTTAACTCTCACCCCTAGGCCTACCCTATGCCAGTAGTTCAAAATCTCCCAGCGGGGGTAGGGGAGAAGTCGTCCGTTTCTTGATCAAAAATGGCGCCTTATTAATTTGAAGGATCGACGATATTAGCGACTTTTATAATGACTAGTGTTTCGAAACCAAAGGCTACCGCAGATGACTTTGAAGAAGAAGCCGAACGAGCGTTTCAGCGTGCTTCCGCTCAGCAAAACCATAAAGGAGATGAATTCGATTTCGAATTTGAAAGCGCTTTTCAAAGTACCACTCCATCTTTTCAAACTAAACATTTACCTACCACATTAAATGACTCCCGTGACAACTCAGATTCTTCCCACCGTCCTTCTCAGCTCCCAGTTAAAACAGAGGGATTACCAAGCAGTCTTCCATCAAGTCAAGGGTAAGAACATAATGACAGACTGTTTTAATTTGAAGGACTTGTTTGCGTTTCAGTATTAAAATATTGTACTGCTGCTTTCTCGTACACACGTCGTTATATTGAACGCGTGATGGCTGTTTGGTAACTCATATATTTTGTGGTTAAAAGTTACTGTAGATCTCATAGAAAAAACTAAGGTGAGTTCATTTAAATAGAGTCAATAAAGAAAGTAAATTACTTTTTTGAGCTTCCTTGTTTTGAATTGAGCCATTTGCTCAAGCTCCTGTTGCTTTAGTAAGCATTTTTACGTTCAAAGAAGATAAGGCGGTAAGATTTTCGCACTTTCTATTTCACACAAATAGTTTACGTTATGGGGCTGGGTGGAAATATTAGACCGAACAGCTGCTAAACTTCTCTATGCTTCAATAAAAGTTTCATCCTAGTGTAACCTAAGCACTACCAAGTAGAATTTGCTCCAAAGAAGAGTGGGGACGTTCCATGTTGTACCGGCCCCAAGGATGAAAGGTTTTCGAGCAAAGGGGTTCCGATTTTTTCTTCAATTAAGCCGACAAGATTTGGACCCCTTGGACAAATTTTTCAAAGGTGCCAACAACACGTGAACTATTTGGATTTCATAATTCAAAGTGTGCCAACAAAAATTAGAGGGCTCTGATTTCCATCATTTTTAGCAGGGGGGGTGGGGAGGGGGAGGGGAGTTGTGCGGATAAAAAATGGAACGTCCAGTGATAAACATGTCAAAACTTTGATTGGTGACAGTTTGTAGAGAACCCTCATTCTCTAAAAACAGCTCAAGTAAGTTCAAAAGAAAAGTGACTAGTTTAATACACTGAAAATTAATGACAAAGAACAGAAAAATAACTAATGTGTGGAGAAAGTTCAAAAACTAAGAAAATTTCCATTACAGATCTTAAAATGAAAAATGACTTTGTGTAGAAAGCCATGATCAGCAGTGGTAGGAACAAACGCCTCAAAAATGTCATGATTGTATCCTTCCTTAGGCTTATGTATAAGATTGCACTGGAAGAATAAAACTGTAGTTAACTTGAAATATCATGTCACTCGCCTATTTGCATGCATTTTCTTATTTTTTTTCTCTTATCGAGAGACAGTCCCCTAAAAGTAATGTGATCTTAGTTTGTTGCTGATACTCCAGACATTAGCCAATCATAATATGCTTTGTGAAGGCAATGCATGATTCATTCACTCTGGATTTGGGACTAGTCTCTTATGATTTCATCTCAGTCTGCTGTCCCCTTTGGTTCTTGGGTCACCAGGCTTTTCTGCTCGAGCATGTGTCACCTCACCTCACCTTTTTATTATGTCTTATTAGAACTAACCTGTAAGGAAAATGCAAAATTCCAAAATTGGTTTGAAAAATCAGGAGTTTAAAAGAGTGGGGATTTCAACAAGTCACATCTTGTTTACAATAATTATAGTGTTTCTTATTAGAACAAAGAAGGCCAATGTACAGAAGCAAATCCAAGGGAGCAACTTTCAGTTTGAAAAATCGGGAGTTTCCAAAAATCAGGCATTCTAAAACTCAGCATTCCACTGTATGATATATTTTCTTTTGGCTGCTCAGGTCCAGTGCATCAGAAATCAACAGATATTCTGCCAATCCAGATGTTGCTGGTGAGTCTGAACTAGGGGTACGATCTGTCAGTCCAACATCAGGGTACACAAGAGCCGGTAAACGGAGGAGAAGATCTGATAAAGACAACATTCCACCAGGGGTTCGCAAGTTGCCTTCCCCTCCTACAACACTTGAGCAAGCTCAGATGGAGTGGGATCTGGTAGAGACTGTACAGCCAGGTACTAAATGTAGGCCTTTTACTAATAGTTTCCACTGCAAAGTGAAGGTTATGGATGCAATGATTTAACAAAGAATTACATAATTTACAAAATCCTCTTTTGAGCTTCACTAGACAGATGAAAAAGGGACCCAGCCCTTTGGATGCACTTAATTGATTTTGGGTAATTTAACTACGTGTTACCACTTACTGGTGTTGTAATTATCTGTAGGGCACTCATTTGTGATCAGAGATACATGTTTCATATCCTAATCAACCATGCTCCTAACTAAAAACTTTGCCCAATCACCCACAAAGCAAATTGACAGCCAAAAGTGAATGTTCTAGTATAAAAACAACAGGTGGTCTCAAACACAAAAATCTTGGTGGTTGTTAGTATTCCATCAAGATTACCATAATCATCTACGTCAAATTTTGCTGTTACAATGTACGTATGAGGAAAAAGTTTACGTGTGAGCAATGGAGTGAGTGAGCGAGCATGAGCGAAAGAATGAATTTGCCATTGTGTTCAATAACCCATTCATTATGCTTCCCATATTCACTGGTTTAAAAAAATTACCTTCAATCTTTGCTTCTATCATGTATAAAACTTTTTATTACCAAGGAGGAACGGCTCTAAAACATTCTATCAGGAAAATAACTACAACAAAGCCTGGATGTGCAACCTAGCAAAAACATCGAATTTATTCACTGTAGAGTTCCAGGATTAGATTCACATATAATCTTTACTTGCTTTCGAACTCTTTGGTCGCAAAAACATGGCTCTCTACACAAAGCAGTAATTTTTCCACATTCCTCTTTATTGACAATCAAGTATTCTATAGGATAAAATATTTACTTTCCCCTTCCAATGATAAAAAGGTGTGTTTTCCTTCTGAAGCCATTGACTACATGTAAAAAACAAAGGGCCTTGATTCAAGTGCCAATTTGATGATATACAAAGTCATACATATTTACATCCATTAAATCTCAAAAGCGGCTTGCTTCTGGCACAGGCAGCCCAGGCTGGTCAGGTACAGTGCAGACAGCCTAAAATAGTGTGCAGCGAAACCTGGTGGCTGTGCAACAATTAATTTTCACCTGTACATGACTTAGTCATTAGTTGTTGGTCAGTCAGTCAACTTGCTGTGTGGAAAAAGTTTAAATTCAAGGTCTGCCATTTTCCTTTTAGTTTTATGGCAGCAAGTACATCCACAAAAAAGTAACGAAAAATGTAGATAGGACTCATCAATAAAAAAAAGTGTTTTAAGTTAAGTTTTTTTTTTTCAGTTCATTTGCCCCTCAGTCTTCTCACCAGGATTTTGCCTTGGGGAGTCCCAGGGCCCCCTCTGTTGAGAAATAGGAGCCCTGTAAGAACATATGAGAGGGACAAAGTATGAATAACCTGAGCCCGCACTCCAAATGATCTGTTACATGAAGTACCTACCTGATCCAATATGGCTGACGGGGTGTTACGATGCATGCACTAATCTTCACAATGTACATGGGACCAATGAAAGTTAAGGAAATAGAAGAATTCTATTTAAAGATTTAAAGTCTTTTATTATTAAAGACCTTAAATCTTTTGATATCATGTTTTTTATTCTTTCAACCAAGCAAAATGCTGGGGTGTTAGGTTGACCATTAAAACTACTTAACTATAAATGTTATAAAGTCCATTTGACTCATAGCATGCCTCTGTGCCCTAACAGGCACATCTTCTTGGCTTTTTATGCACTATCTCAGATTTTCTTACGGGAATCCTGTAAGGCCATGGTCTGGTGAGAACACTGCTCCCTTGAATTAAGGCCTAATTGCCGCTATTGCTTTAGCTATAAATTTGACTTTAAAAAAAACACAGGACTTGTTCTGAAGAGTTGAGCACTTTGCAGGGCCCTACACTTTACTGCAAGAAATTAATGGCTTATCTTTTACCACTGGCTTTGTTTGTGTGGTGAACTGTACACATTCTCAATAAATGGTGGGGCCACTTACAGTTATATGTCATGAATGTATCTTTTCAACCAGTTTTAGGGCTTTTTGAACAGATGAAAAGAATACAGAATAAATTTCTTAAATCATGATCCTGTTCATTTATTAAAGAACTTAGTTGTTGTTTGTTTGATGTGTTTGTTGTTTTTTGTTTGGTTGTTTTTTTTTTCTATTTTAGGTGGTTAAGTTGCTTGACATCTATGTTACAGATCAAAATTGATTTCAGGTTAAATTTTTTTAACCTAGGCTGATTCTCAATTTCCTTTGTCTCCTAGCCCTAATTATTCATGAATTAAAGCTAGAGGACAAAAGAAATTGAGAATCACCCTCTGAACTTAATTTTGACTTGTAACATCTATTCTAGTTTCATTTAATCAAAAAAATAGTGGGTAACTGCCAGTTCATAACCAAATTTACAATAATTATTGTGGGCTAAATCTGAAACCAAGCAAGATGAAGAGAATACTGAGTTCTGATTGGCTACTCAAGCAGCTAGAAAAATGTCTTTTTTTGGCCATGTAATAAATCATTTATTGGCCAAAGCTTGTTTTGTCAAGATGCCTGGATATTGGCCTCATTTTTTTTTGCGTTTTTAGTGAACTTGACTTCATCTTGTTCCTTTAAAATGCAAAACAGAGCTTGGCCAATATCCAGCTATCTTGACTGCATGCTTGGTCAATAACACTTTAAACATCTTTCTCTTCTAAAGAAAACTACATGTATGTTGAGATGGTTTGTCCTTCCATCTTTTTACCTGCGGACAAAATCCTATCTTATTTAATACCGTTCAAATCAAACCTCTTTGGAGAAACTTTTCAATGGTACTACATGTACCATTACTGAAATAAATTAATTCGAGATGGTTTTTTTTCTTAATTTTTTACTTAAGCCACTCATAGAAGTGAAAGGGTTAAGAAAGAGGATGGTAAGCCTGTGATGCCACATTTACACCAGTGACTGTCTGTTGTATTTAATAGGAAATGGCCAGGCTGGTAGTCGTTCTCCTCTCACTACTTTCCAGGATGCAGTGCGTCATTGTCAAACAGCAAGCTATCTTGAACAGCACATGTCACACATCAAACCAACAATTAAACACCGTGGCATGGCTGCTGTGACCAATAAACTGTTTGGACCTCCGTCAATGAACAGTAACCTTCATATGGAACGAAACCTCATCTTTGCACTTGCACTGTGCATGTTCAAGAATGATGAGCCCATGCACAATCATGTGCTGCAAACCATATATAAGAAACTGACAGGAACAAAGCTTGACTGTCCTCGCTATGGCAACCACTGGGAGTTGATTGGGTTTCAAGGTGCACAGTTTACATGTATATTTGATGCATGGCAAAAATGGCCATAACAAAATCAAATAAAAGTCTCAGTTGTTAGCAACAGCATTGAAGAGAACAGGAAATTTGTGTACTTCCAATTTTATTGACACTGATTCCGTGATGAAGACGGTGTTGTTATGAAGAATTTTGTTTGATTTACTTAAATCTATTTTCACATGCTTAACGTAAGACTATGCTCTAAGGAGCCCAGTGTTCTGAGCCTGTGTAATCCACAGTGCCTACATATGATTGTTGTGTTGAAACTGAGACTTGTTTAACCTTCACAGGGAACACTGTTTTGCATTGCTCTAGGAAATCTTGTGTGGCATAACGCAACCTGTAGATTAGTCAGTTATTTGCCAGCAGATAACTAATATGCAGTTTGGGCTGTGAATTCTTTATCAAGTTTTCGCCATGTTTGCATGTTGGATGCCCAGCAGATATACTGTAGTCAACTTCTGCCTTCTTGCGAGAACAAGTGCAGTGATGCTCATTATGATTATCAATGGAAGGTAATGCGTATGATTTAACGTATTATAAAATTCCCTTTATTTCTTTAAAGGACTCGACCCAGCAACAGATTTACGTGGATGTGGATTTCTTGGTTTACTGACAACACTTTACTTAGTGACAGAACATCGGACACATGGTCTCGCTGTGGACATTTACAAGCTCTCTCAACATGAAACACAGAACTTCCCATTTGCCATCATGTCTATCAACATCACAAGAATAGCACTTCAAACACTCAGAGAGGGGAAATTAAATAAGTGAGTAGTCATTTTTGGTTACAAGCCATTTCCTACATAGTCATTTCGCTAGACTACAGTTGATTCAATCTGTTTCGTTGTAATGTACTTTATGTATTTGCATCGATAAGAAAAAGCCTTTAATGTAAAGACCTACCCCAACAGAGACAGTCGCCTGTGAGCCAGTCCGGAAAACCGGGATAGCACGGTTCGTGTCTTATTTTTCCATGAAATGTTTGTCGTGTTTATTGAGATGGCGGGCTGGGCCGCTTGCGTTTAGGGTCGTGAATCATTGAAAAAGTCTTAAAATTTGCATCGAGATTTTCCAGACCTGGAAAAAGTCTTGAAAATAGCGATAAATTCTGGAAATGTGGGAACAATTCTGGAGTTCTCTCTTTCAGGGAATGCAATCGTCGTAGTCAAGTTCTGCCCATCTTTGCGGAGTTCTACGCAGCAATTTACCTTCATATCTACCAAGTTTGGAAGCATCAGCATAAGACTATCACTGACTCGGGATTTGTACTAAGGGAAGCAGAAAAGCTTGCCAAGAAAAGACCTCGTGAACTTCTCAGAAACTTGGAACGGGTGTTGACAGATCGTCAGAGCTTCATAAAAGCCGACGAAGACAATTTTTCTCCGAAAGCGAGACAACAAGTTATTATGGACAGATTTGCGGGAGTTTGTGACTTGAAAGTGGACGAAGAGGAAGAAGTTCACTTAGTGTAGAGTACTCACAAAGAGAATTCCAAGTATACGACAGTGGATTGTCGGTCGTTTATAATCAGACGCAAAAAAGCCTCTTATTCTCAAGTCCATTCTTTAAAGACTAAGTCACCATTCCNACCTGGAAAAAGTCTTGAAAATAGCGATAAATTCTGGAAATGTGGGAACAATTCTGGAGTTCTCTCTTTCAGGGAATGCAATCGTCGTAGTCAAGTTCTGCCCATCTTTGCGGAGTTCTACGCAGCAATTTACCTTCATATCTACCAAGTTTGGAAGCATCAGCATAAGACTATCACTGACTCGGGATTTGTACTAAGGGAAGCAGAAAAGCTTGCCAAGAAAAGACCTCGTGAACTTCTCAGAAACTTGGAACGGGTGTTGACAGATCGTCAGAGCTTCATAAAAGCCGACGAAGACAATTTTTCTCCGAAAGCGAGACAACAAGTTATTATGGACAGATTTGCGGGAGTTTGTGACTTGAAAGTGGACGAAGAGGAAGAAGTTCACTTAGTGTAGAGTACTCACAAAGAGAATTCCAAGTATACGACAGTGGATTGTCGGTCGTTTATAATCAGACGCAAAAAAGCCTCTTATTCTCAAGTCCATTCTTTAAAGACTAAGTCACCATTCCAACCACGTATAGACGCTACATTACGCACTTAACTACAGAATACCTGATACGAACAGAGAGCCCGTTTCTGCTGCGACAAGGATACTGCTGCATGATTTACTTTTGGTACATAAAATGAAATGTTGTGTTGTAACCACAGCTAGATAACACTTTGTTCGCGTAGCCGTTGTTATTGAAATCTGAGCATCGATGTATACAGTGGTATAGAAGAAATACAGAGGATCTTTGCAATGGTTCCAACTTGCTCCAAATTTAGATCTGGAAGTGAATAATTCAATAAAAGTTTAAACGAAATTTTAACAGAGTCGTGTGTCATATTTTATCCCCGTTCCAAGCTGTTTGTGAGGCGGTGAATATGCAAGGGAGTTTCTGTTTACCAAAAACGGCGGTTTCCCGCGCTGTCTGAAAATTCAAGCAAATAATCGTGACAGTACACGCCAAAAGGCCTAGATCTTTGTTGTTGGCGCCATTTTCCAGTTGCGGTCATGTCAGTGACCGTCCAATCGGAAAACTGTACTGAGCGTGTCTCTTTCATAACCACATTCAAGGACAGCATTGGCGGATTTCCCCATTAAGTTACCATATGCATGTAAAGTGGTAGACTAGTTATAGTGTATTTAGGGCCCAGATCCCCTTTATTCGGTCAAGGAATGTCTCTGAGTGTGGTTGTCAAGGACCAAGAGTGTATTGGCTGAATAAAGCTGATCGTTCTGCCTTAATTCGGTCTAATCATCCTTTAGGTACCGACTAGATCGGCACACGACATTTATTAGCGACGAGGATTAGCAGACCCGAAAAAGCTATTCAGCGGAAACTTTCGCTAGAAATATAGATGATGACGAAAGACACCACATTAGAACCTGCAACTACTACAGAGACCAAAACAGGTTTGGGCTGCGAGTGGAAGCTATGGTTGACAGCGTTCGATTATTTGCACACGGCAAAGGTCTAAGAAAATATCAGGGGCACCCAACAACAATTTTCAGAAAAATATCTGTTCGGAAGACGATTTGAGATCTAGAATTTTCGGAACATTTGTTGTAAAATTTCTTGCTTGCCTGCCTCCCCTAGGATTTTCGAACATATAAAAAATGGTATAATTGCCCATTTTTAACGGATTTTTACCCTAAATAGGTCATCTAGAATTTTGGGAGCCTTTTTTCTGGCTGAAATTTTCGAAAAGGCGAGTTTTGATCCCTATAATTCTCGGATCACTAGACTTTCAGCTAGGAAATCCGAACAGATGAAAAATTTTTAGGGGATAAAAATATGCCTTTATCTACCGTTTAAATACTAAAATACGTTTAACAATGCTATGTTTAAGTGGTTTTGAACTATATTCTCGTTGGGTGCCCCTGAAATATAACAGGCAAAGGAAACGTGCATTATTGCCCCATCTGGAGGGAACTGATGTCCAAAATAACTTCCTTACACTCCCGAACACTGGAGACGCGAAGGATTACCGGAAAGCGGTCGCTAGTTTGAACGCATACTTCGTCCAAAAGTCGGCACCACGTACGCTAGGTACTGTTTCAGTCAGCAAACACAAGCACCAGGGAAAGCAATTCGACAGTTTGCGATCACACGTAGGCAAGCGTCGAAAGATTTCAACCACTGCAAGGGCACGGAAGATCAAATTCACGATGAAATTCTTTGCAAATGCACCATTACCAGTCACGGTTGGGGGGTGTAAGCTGAATATGATCTTCGATTCCAGAGCGGGCACCAACATCATTGACAGGGAAACATGAGAGTGGATGCAGAAGAACAAAGTTAAGTGTAAATCAGCTCGCACAAGTAGCAAGGAAACTCAATGCTTAAGCACCTCAGACACCACTCCATGTGATAGGATGTGTCCCTTATCGAAGTTTCTGCAGGAAGCGTTACTTCCAAGTTCTGTGTGATCAATGGTGAGGGAGATCACCTCTAAGTGAGAGGCACTGTTACTCGTCTAAAATTGCTTAAGAAAGGGAAATGGAGACTCAAAGACCATCGGAGAGGTCCTTCAAGGTAAGTAACCAAACTTTTTCAGCTGCGTCAGGAAGTTGAAAGACCGCGCAGCAACATGACCCAGTTGTTCAGCTATTAACCAAGCCAAAGCGGAAGTTGTGATCTCAAGACATCAGTGAGCCTGTACAAGGACCCACTACAGGGTCAACCCAGTCACCGAAGTCGGGGGATGATGTCCATCATTAATTTATATGAGAGGAGCCATGGATAATAGAAAGAGCTAACGAAGCAATACGAAGAGCCAGACACCCGATCCTCAATGTAAATGAGATTACTCAGAACATCAGCGGCTGCAATGTCTTCACCAAACTGGACCTTTTAAGGACTATTTATAAAATTAAATGGGGTTATCACCAGATGGAACTCTCTTCTGAGTCCAGAGAGATTACAACCAACGCTACTTACTGCGCATGCGTTCCGTTCAGATATAAGAGATAGCTGTTTTGAGTTATTTCTTCCTCCGAACAGTATCTTTCAATACAAGTTCCAGACTGAGCACTCGCAGGTGAGGGACAACAGCATTTTAGATGGCATCATCGTGAATGATCAAGACAAGAAAGAGCACTATTCGTGGTGGGAGAAAGTGATCAAGAGATTAGAGGAACGTGGGTTAACAAAAGCGCCAGTTCAGCATGGCAGGGTATTATCCGGGACCGGAATTGGCTATACAGCCGAGAAATTGAAAGCTGTGTAGGAGACGAAAGGGCGCTGAACCGTGTCAGAAACCAGAAGGTTTCTTGGACTTCTAAACTACTGTAGCCAACTTAGCTTATACCTGATCTGGCGACAATCTTTTCCCTCAAGACTTAAAAATAAAAATATTTGAGGAAACTTCCAAATATCGTTTTTTAAAATATTGCGAAAGAAATGGTATCATTTGTAAAGAAAGAATGACCGCATCCACGACTTCGCTCAGTGATTAGGAAGTGCTCAGTGATTAGGAAGTGAACGTGAGATGGTTGCCGATTGTACACAGTCTATTCTAAGGGCTCAAAATTACTTCGTAGCCAAACAATGTAAATGTGTCTAACAAACACGAAAACTGAAACTAAAATTATCTTAAGAGGCAGGTTGGCTGAGCTGTACCCGTCAAGTGTGGGGTTTTGGTTATCAAAGTCACGAAACACCCCTAAAAAATGTTGACATGCGTAAGGAACTTGCTTCGCAGTGCCAAGTTATCAAATCAATGTAATAGTGAACGAACAGAGTTTCAACGAAGAGTAAACGAGCAAAGGTAAAGAAAATAGGTAAGAAGGAGACTTTTAAAGTAATACGTTTTCTTGCTCAGTTTACATAGAAAGAGACTTCAAGGCACCATTGTGCAATTAACTTAAATGTGCTCAATCACATTTTCCGAGGGAAGGATATTATATTTCATCGTTAATAACTAGTTTTAAAATAACAACTGATAACTCACATCCACAGAGACTAATATTTCTAAACCTTAAACGCTTACATTTTCCCCTTTTTGCATACACAAGTGTAAGAACCAAGAGTATGTCAAAGTTATGTGTTTTTCACCGATCATCTCACTTTTAAAAAACCAAGGAAAAGCTTTTTTTTATTATCATTAAACTCACCCGATAAGGGTAAATCTGGGGGAATGAAATCGTTTTTGACAGCATTTCGCCAGCAGTAAAAATAAAACAAAAATTTTAGGCTAGAATTCAAAGCTCTATCACATGATAAAGTTCGTTTTTATTCTTGCTTCGGAAGGTTAACTTTCTTATTTAATGCAGTAGTTCTTTTTTTGATTGTAGAAATGGTATGTTCAGAAGGTGGTTGGACAAACTGTTCAAGTAATTGCATTCGAAGACGCCGTAAAAGTTTTTCTGGTGTTTCCTATTCAAGTGTAGCATTTAAAATTTACTTATTTTTCTCGTAATTTTGCTTCTAAAATTTTTGATAGTCCCGATCATATCAATTCCGACACCTCTGTTAATTATGCGTTAGATATATCATTCATTGTTGCTTTTAAAGCTCTTACCCTCTTGAATTACGCGATTTTTACTTAATGCCACATTTTTTTCTTAGTATAATATAAGTGTTTAAATCATGTCTCCAAAACCAAAATAAAGTCGTGGAAATAATATCCATTCCACGAGCCCAATTTCAAAAGTAACTTGGAGTTATTTTAAATCCCAGAAGGAAATAAGACGATTACATTAACATCTGCGGAGATGACCACGCGTTTTCCCTTTATCTCCGCTTTTATGTGTTTAGAGCTTCCCGTAATAAACATCTTCATTAGCTGAAAAATTCCGGTGGTGCAGTTATATAAATGAATGTTGTTTTGTTGAGGTAACGCTGCCGTGGCAAGGGGAAAACGAAGAGCACGCTATTGGAATTCTTATTCAAGGTAATTTTAAATTATTTCAACATCCCTTCCAATTTCATGACAAAACAATAGGTCGATGCGCCGTTGCCATTTGCAAACGTGCAGAGGGACCAGTATCTCTGATCTAACACACAAGCATAAATTATTTCGTGAATTGAAATTGTTCTATTCGAAGCTTAAAGTAGCCGGTCAAATACTTATGAAACCAAAGTAGACTGAGCACTCGCAGGTGAGGGACAACAGCATTTTAGATGGCATCATCGTGAATGATCAAGACAAGAAAGAGCACTATTCGTGGTGGGAGAAAGTGATCAAGAGATTAGAGGAACGTGGGTCAACAAAAGCGCCACTTCAGCATGGCAAGGTATTATCTGGGACCGGATTGGCTATACAGCCGAGAAATTGAAAGCTGTGTAGGAGACGAAAGGGCGCTGAACCGTGTCAGAAACCAGAGGGTTTCTTGGACTTCTAAACTACTGTAGCCAACTTAGCTTATACCTGATCTGGCGACAATCTGAGCCCTAATACAACGCGTGA